AATCACATACTCTTAAAGGTCACCCCATCCCAATGATTTTCATGCCTGAATTTTCTCCTCCACACCTCTCACCCCACCCATTTCCATGGACAAAACATACACACTACATTATCTTCCAGTCTTTCCTGAACTGCCTCAGGTGACAGAAAGCTTACTGTCTCCCAATGAATTATTTTGGCAAATTTTGACCATTTAAAAGGTTTTATATTATGGTGAACTGCTAAAGTCTTCTCTAACTTCCCCACAATTGTCCTTGTTTCCTCAGGCTAGCAGGACAAGTTCAAGACCTTTTACTACTTGACAGTCCTTAAGGTATTTGAAAATGGTTATTATGTACCTGAACTATCCCCTTTCTAGGTTAAAAATCTCTAGTTCCTTCAGCTGTGTCACAAGTTCATGCATTGTAGTCCCAGACAGTCTCTTTATCTGAATATTTTCCAAATCTCCCAAGAAAGGCACTGACTGAGTTGAATTCTGTTCCTAGCTTTGCCATTAACTAGTTGTGTGTGGCTGTGAAATTTCCTCATCTGCAAAATGATGTAGTTGAACTATTTATAAGGCACTTCATCTAAAAATCCCATTATTGGGGCTTCGCTGGTGGCGCAGTGGTTGAGAGTCCGTCTGCCGATGCAGGGGACACGGGTTCGTGCCCCGGTCCGGGAAGATCCCACGTGCCGCGGAGCGGCTGGGCCCGTGAGCCATGGCCGCTGAGCCTGCGCGTCCGGAGCCTGTGCTCCGCAACGGGAGAGGCCACAACAGTGAGAGGCCCGTGTACCGCAAAAAAATAAAAAATAAAAAAAAAATTAAAAATCCCATTATTCTATTTCAAAACAATGATTTCCATTTTACTTATCTAACAGTCGTTGGCTTGAGCCAATAAAATAGAGTTACATTGGCTCTTTGTTGACAATCGCTCTTTCTTTACTAATGGAGGTGGTCTTACCCCTTCCACAAATATAAAAAATAGAGAGGTTTGGCTGGAGCTATGGGCATCATATCATGACTGCTGCAATCTTAATTCATTCACAGTGCCATTTAGGGATGGACTGCTGTTACCTGTTACAAGGACTAGGTCTTGCAGAGATACAGAGAGGGAAAGGAGAAGATGAGAAAAGGCACTGGTAACTCATTTATTTCTACAGACTGGTATCCATGTCAGTGGGGAAACAACAGATCTGTGGACCCCAGAAGTTTTTATAAAGTTCAAGTACCCTTATATTACATATTTACATACAAACCCCAAACCATTCTTTGTTGTTGCTGTATTCTGTCTTGTTTTGCACCAGGTTTCCATGCAGTTCATCCCTAGTGTCAGCTGTCACCCATGGGTGACTCCATAGAACCCCCAATTTCATGTCTGGGAGACCTGTGAACTCACTTTCCTGTGTTTCAAGGCGATTATAGCCTGGGGAGCGATGTGAGGTCCTTGGATACCTTGTCTGGCTCTTTATGCCTTTTCTTAGCAATGACCCAACGGCTAGTTTGTTTTCTTCCAAGGGTGTGCAAACCAAAATATGCTTTTGTGATCCAACTTTAGCAAAGAACTAGATGTTTAATATCTGTTGTAGCTTATGGGCACCAGTTGGTATTAAACTGTCCTTTTTTTTTTCTTCTCGTACATTTAGTTTTTGTTCTGCTTTTTGGGTCACGCCTGCTTTCCCCACTGACTCCAGACGATTAAATCTACTTGCATCTAAAATGCTACTTAATTTGAATATTCAAATGCATTTTACGGTCAGTTTTACTCTTTATCGTTATATTTCTCCATATTTGTTTATTTATTTTACCAAATTATTATGACACAAGGTTCAGAGCCATAAAGGCCAGAAGTTGTCCCCACTTCTATCTGAGGGTGTGCTACCTTGTGGGCACACGTAAACAGAGCCCTCAAGCCTGCTTACTGTGCTGTGTAACTGCTGCCTTGCAGCTGATGTCTCTTGTGAGGTCCCCAGGCTAGACAGAGCAAGCGATGCTAACGGGCCTCTGCCACCTGGAGAGGGGACATGGTTCTTCTCATGTCATGCTTGAGTTCAAACTGAGTTGTGTTGACGGCTTCAAGATGCCAGCCTTTATCCTGCTGCTCCAGAACCGGCTCTTTCTCTGCCCTGTAATTGATGGCACTGCTGCCACCACCACCATCAAAGCAGGTACAGTGTCTTCCCATGGCATCACCAGCTCCTCTCCATCACAAAAATACTACGGCCCTTTTCACATCTCAGAGTCCAAGCCTTCTTGGCTTTGTACCCAGGGAAACGGGGGGGTTCTTCCTTGCATTTCCTGCCCCAGGATTTACCCTCTTCCTGAGATGATTGATACTGGAAATATCCATTCCCTGGGGCCCATGTTATAACAATTTAAAATCTCTCTGATTTGGGACATTTCCTCAAAACTAGGTTTCACTATTCCGTGGTCATCCAGTTACACATAAATGGTTCTGGAAATATGCATAACATAATAGAATATTTGGGGCTTCCCTGGTGGCACAGTGGTTAAGAATCCGCCTGCCAATGCAGGAGACACTGGTTTGAGCCCCGGTCTGGGAAGATCCCACATGCCATGGAGCAACTAAGCCCGCGCACCACAACTACTGAGCCTGCGCTCTAGAGCTCGCGAGCCACAACTGCTGAGCCCGAGTGCCACAACTACTGAAGCCCGTGTGCCTAGAGCCCGTGCTCCGCAACAAGAGAAGCCACCGCAATGAGAAGCCCGTGTACCGCAACGAAGAGTAGCCCCCGCTCGCCTCAACTAGAGAAAGCCCGCGCACAGCAACGAAGACCCAACATAGGCAAAAATAAATAAATAAGTTTATTTTAAAAAATGGAATATTTGTCCAGCTTTAACTTCCTTTTTTTTTTTTTTTTTGCGGTACGCGGGCCTCTCACTGTTGTGGCCTCTCCCGTTGCGAGGCACAGGCTCCGCACGCGCAGGCTCAGCGGCCATGGCTCACGGGCCCAGCCGCTCCGCGGCATGTGGGATCTTTCCGGACCGGGTCACAAACCCGTGTCTCCTGCATCGGCAGGCAGACTCTCAACCACTGCGCCACCAGGGAAGCCCCAGCTTTAACTTCTAATTAACCATATGGTAAGTGCCATCTACTAACTTCTCTTTCACCTGGTGTATTTTATAAAGGCAGAAATTTTAAAAGCATCCTTAGGGCTTTTCTCTCAAGCTTTAAGTTAATGATATTAACAGGCAGTGAGATATGGGGGCACAGGACTGGGAATTGGGATTCTCAGGTAAACTCTCCACTCTGAAATAAAGGGATCCTAATAGTGGTCCATTAACATCAAAAATTTTAAAGCTAAAAATAAGCTTTAAAATAACCTAATCCAACCCTGCCATCTTTTTTCCTTTAAGAATGTAAACGATTAACGTGAGTCTAACATCCTAAGAGCTGAGATTATTCACATTATCATCAAGCCATTGACTTTTAGGCCTTCTGAAACATTTTCCACATCCTGTCTCTTGTCAGGCTTCTTCCTGTGAACATAGTATTAGTTTAAGTTCCCACAGCCCTTTAGAGTGAAGCATAGGAGGAAAGGAGTTTCTAAAGTAGCAGAGGTAGGCAGCAATTTCTGTAAATATCACCACGGCCTCCTTTCTTCATCCTGGTGATGCTCCGCGTGTCCCATTGGCATGACCAGAAGTGTTTGTTGGGGGGGGGGATGGTGGTGGTCAGAGGGGAGCATGTTCATTCCTCTGCTCCATTTGCAACATTGACTTCCTTGTATGAGTAGGATCTGTAGCAGATAGGAGTTCAACAGCCTTTATGGGTTTCTATCTTCAGACACAGCTACCGATGTGACCTTGGACAAGTCATGACCCTCTTAGAGCCTCAACTTCAGTAAAAGAGAAATACCGTCTGCCTTGCCTACCTCTCAAGAGTGCTTGTGAAAGAAAGGTAACCCATAAAGGACTATAAAGAATTATTTATTATTTCTGGTATAAAGCATGTGCAAGTGACCAGGCTGGTCCCTTGCCCTCATGCAGGTTTGTGTTTTTAAGGAGCACCTCTTCAGAAGGCAAAGTAAAGCCAGGAACAAAATTAACAAGACTTCAGTCATCCCAAGTGTCTGTGGGGTATTGATTCCAGGACCCCAATGGATACCAACATCCACAGATGCTCAAGTCTCATATAAAATGGCATAGTGTTTGCAAAGAATCTACACACATCTTCCCCTATACTTTAAATCATCTCTAAATTACTTATAATACCTAATACGATACTGTGTAAATAACTGCTAGTTTGTGACAAATTCAAGTTTTGCTTTTTGGAACTTTCTAGAATTTTTTCCTCAAATATTTTCTATCCATGGTTGGTTGAATCTGTCGATGCAGAACCTGTGGATACAGAGGGCCACATGTACTAATAAAATGCATGCCGGGAACCCTTACCATGTACCTGGTTCTCTTATAAGCACTTGATGTGCATGATCTCATAAATCTTCAGAACAGCTTGTTGAAGTGATTCCTTTTGTTATCCCAGATTTATAGGTGAGTAAACTGAGGCCAGAGTGGCTTAGGAATATGCACAAGGTCACAGGTCAGAAAGTGGAGGAGCCAGGACTCCTAACTGGATCTCTGATCCAGCCACGATCTTGCCCCTCAGCACTGCCTCTCCAGAAATTCCCTTGCTTGTAGCAGAAAGAATCCCAAAGTCCCAGACATGTGGCAGGAAATTTGCCTGGCTCTATGTCCCAGGCACTCAGGTTCTCAATTGGGCCCTCTCAGTCTGCCACCTTCAGATGACTCTTCCTGGCACTATTTGACAACCACATTTTCATAGAATGGAGAGGGTATTTGGAAGAGATGTCAGCCTTAGAAATTTAATCAGCTGAGCCGAAAGCAATCAAGATGCCATCTGGACAGACTCTGACTTCCTGCCCAGAAGATAAAGACATCTGGACTTAGTAAATGCCAAGGACATGCTGACTTGGTCCCCAGGCCCCTGGTCCACTCCTCATTTCATGCAGATGTGTTTTCTTAATTGTGCAGAATCCATGGCTATGAGCTGCTGCTGGGGCCACCGAGTGCTTCCCTGCTCGGAACTGGTGACCACTGTGAGCCGTGGTGTCTTTCCAGTACTGAGGAAATGGATTGGCTGCAAAGGCCCCGGTAAATATCCCCTTTAATGATGGAGCAGGAGGTGGCTGTCCGAGGCCCAATTTATCGTTGTAATTAGAGCCCATCACGACTGCTGATTGTTAAGTAGGGATGAGAGGAAATATTTGTGCATACGAAGAAGATAATTAAGGTGGTTCACTGGGTTTGCATACCCAATCTGTGCTTAGTGTTGCTGCTTCCTCCTGTGACGGAGGGTGTCTCAAGTCACAGGGGTTCTTGAACCATCCCTGGGTGGAGGACGAAGGGGTTTGGGGAAGAGCTGAGGAATTAGAAGAAAAAGGTTAAGATTCTGCACACAGGGCCTTTATAATGTGGCAACATCAGAACACGTTTTCTAAACACATTTCTAGAGATGGCTTGAATTTCACACACCAGCTTCTGTCTGTTTTAAAGCAGAGAAGGTCCTCCAATAAGCCACAGAATTTTGCACAGCTGGAACCAAACTCTTCTCCCTCTACCTCCCCCTGACAGAGGTGCTATTTGCCCCAGGTAAACTCCTGAAGTCCCAATGCCCGTAAATGGCAGTAATAAAACCTACTCCTAATACTTCTCTTTTAGCTCCTGCGTAGTTGGAACATATTGAAGGTTTGGGGGTTTGGAGGGAAGATTTGCTAGTCCGGAGCAATTGACATTTGAGAGTTTTTAATTTAATAATCATGAAAAAATTGTGTCTATAAGTGTTTACCAAGTTACTATTGTTTCTGACTTAAAAACCAAACCAAACCAACCCCAGTGGTAGGAATATATCTGTTCAGATGGAGGTAGCTGGAGAGCTGGTCCATACCTTATAATCTCCCTGGCCTCTGTGCTCAGGAAAAGGCCTCTTCTTTCTTTTCCTTGTCTTTGTTATAGGCTGCGTTTCTTTCCTTGTCTATCTCCCATTTCACTTCTATTGCATTTCCTTTCTGAAAATCTTTTTCTTGTCAGGGCGCACTGTTTGGTTAGCATTTGGTTCTTGCTTCAATTGTGTCTCTCTCTAACATTTCTTCCTTCTGATTTTCATATTTTATTTTTGAACCTCACCTTTAGCAATGGCTGTTCATCATCCTACCCACCCCCCTTTGTCCCTTACTTGTCAAAACTTGTTTTCTGTAGGATCATCGTGTTTCTTGGTCTCTGGAGGGCCCAGGCAGCATGCATTTGTTCTTTCCTCTTAGAACTTTGTTTTGTGGGTGCCAGTTATTCCAAGTCCTTGTGGGGTTGCCCAGGTGCCTATCGGGTCAGCAGCCGGGATGGTTGGAGATCTTAGCTCTGAGCTACCTTCACTTCTGGGACTGGGACCCAGTGGTCAGTGGAGCCTGGTCGATGGGATGTGCCTGGTTGAAGGTAAGTCATGGAGTGGGAAGTCCTAAACACCTGGGGTGTGTCATAGCCCACAGCCCTGACATTGACCAACCCAGTAGGCAGTTCACCTCTGAGATGGTACCAATCCAGTTTTGGCCTTTTTTTTTTTTTTTTTTATATGAGATGCAAATATGTGGAGTCTTTGGGGGAAGACAACAGGAAGCCAAGCACTGGGGCATCTTGGGATTTTCAACAAGAGAGAGAAAAATCCATTGTATTGTGAATAAACATATATTGTGATAAGACTCTCCATAAATTAACATCAAGTTAAGAGAAAAAGTCTCTACGTGGAGAGACAGTGGCTATCAGCAGTGGCTAAGTATGGGAAAATTATAAGATTGTAGCTTCAATTCTAGCATAGTCTTCCTCTTTGGAACACAGTCTGTTCCTGTTGTAGTCTGTTATTAATAAACAAACAAAAAAAAAAGAAGAAAGAAGAAATTCTAAAACTTTCTACTTTCTAAATAGAGTTGAATTTGCTTTAAACAAACCAAGCATAAAAATTTAAGGGGCTTCCCTGGTGGCACTGTGGTTGGGAGTCCGCCTGCCAGTGCGGGGGACACGGGTTCAAGTCCTGGTCCGGGGGTATCCCACATGCCACGGAGCGTCTGGGCCCGTGCGCCACAACTGCTGGGCCTGCGCTCTGGAGCCCGCGGGCCGCAGCTGCTGAAGCCTGCACCCCTGGAGCCCATGCTCCGCAGCGGGAGAGGCCACTGCAATGGGAGGCCCGCGCACTGTGGCGAAGAGCGGCCCCTGCTCGCCGCAACTGGGGGGGAGCCCGCACACAGCAACGAAGACCCAACGCAGCCAAAAATAAAATAAATAAATTTATTTAAAAAATTTTAAATTGCAGGATTGATAAAATACGAGCATTTATTTTATCAAAGAACTCAGTTTGTGACTACACTGTATCGTAGAATTCCTGTAACCAAATCTCGTGCAGTTTTTATGACCAGATTTTTCAAAATTTAACTACATGTCTATCTGCTGTGAAAAATGAGGCTGACTTGTAGCTTTTAAACACACGCATAGTCACTATTCAAGTCACAATTAGAAACTAAACAAATGACAAAAATCTTTGCTTTGTATGAGTTGATAAGGTCATAACCAAGGTTGAAATTGAGCTATCCCAAGCTGTGTTTGTTTGTTTGTTTGTTTTTTCAGGAAAAAAAAGTGTATAGCCTTGGTGGGGCAATGCAGTTTTGGAGTATCTGGAGAGGCTGCTGGCTGTGAGGCCAGAATTTCGTGCTCATATGGAGAATGAGAGAACCACCACCACAATCAAGACCTAGGACAGGTTGTAAAGCACCTGCTGACACTGGGGTCTCAGGCTTTGTTTTTTCTGTAGGGAAGGGAGTGGGAAGCTGGATACCTGGAGGGTTAGATGCTTCCCTGGCAGGAGGTGGCCCATTTCCAGTCTAGAATTCTACCAGGAAAAGAACCTGACCATGGTTCACCATTCCAGAATAGATGTACCTTTTGTTGTGTTGTCACTTTTTTCTTTATACTTTCATCTGAAAAATTGGGATTCGAAGTTGTTTATGTTTTTAAATTACAACTTAGAGTGCCAACTATTTACCGTCTTCATAAGGAATTTAGAAAAAAATTCTTTCTTTTTTCATTGAGAAAATAATAATAATATTTAGTACATAGTGCCTACTGTTTATTGTCAGGTACTGTTCTAAGTAAGTTAGAGATTTTAACTCACTATCTTTATGACTACACTCTGTCATTTCTGGGTAAAGAAACACAAGGAAGCTAAGTAAATTGCTCAAGGTCATTTGGCTCTGTGGCTGAGGTAGGGCTTGAACCTAGGGAGCCTGGCACCAGATAAAACAGGTGAAAGACGGTGACAGGGAAATCTGAAGAAGGGAAAAAACCCATCAGAGCCACTTGTTTCCCCCAGTGTTTTGAAGAAAACTTTGCAGCCTGTCCTCCTCCCCACTGCAAACCCCACTCTGCAACTGCTTCTTAGGGCCGGGTGTGTACTGAGGCCCGTGTCCCTAAGGCAGAGAGGGGTCCAGCTTTAGAAGCGAGGGATTGCATATGGAGGGAGCTCTGCGTGAAATTCGAGAAACTCTACCCAATCATCCTATGTCCCTAGGACTTGGCTCCACTTTCCCTTCGGGATGGAAACAAACAACGTTTCCAGCGAGTATCCAGCTAGTAGTGACTGCTACTGGCAGCTACTTTGCAAATGTTAACCCTGCCACCTAGTGACCACTTTCTGAATGTCACCTGGAAGATTACCATGTAGAACAGTGGTCCCCATCCTTTTTGGGACCAGGGACCCGTTTCATGGAAGACCATTTTTCCATGGACGGGGGCGGGGGAATGGTGGGGGAGGAGGGATGGTTCAGGAGGTAATGCGAGCCATGGGGAGCGGCAGATGAAGCTTCCCTCGCTCGTCCACCACTCACCTCCTGCTGTGCGGCCCCCGTTCCTAACAGGCTGAGGGCCGGTAGTGGTCCTCGTCCCCGGGGGTTGGGGACCCCTGATGTAGAACATCCCATGTTGACCTCAGCATTGCCACCACCCTGCCTGACAGCTGAGACTTTCTCCTGCTTAGAGACCCCATGTGGCACTGACCAGCTGACATGTCATTACAGTTTTAGGGCTGCTTTAGTCATACCTGCAGAAGAAGAGCTGAGCTGTCATTTCCTCCTCTGTTTCCTCAGGATGATAAGGTGCTTGGAGTACAATGAATATGTCTCAAGAGCACGTGCCAAGTACTTATGGGAGGAGGTGACTTCTGTCCCTACAAAGGTCTAAGTTCCCACTATCCCTTGTGCTTGATTCTATTACAGCTCTTGAATGTTCTGTTTCCTTGTATGTCCCTCTCCTCCATTGAATTGTGAAAACTGTGAGGTTGGGGACAATGTCTTGCTTATGTTTTATCCCCACAGCCTGGTTTGGTGTCTGTCTGATGAATGCCAGTTGAATGAATGGATGGAAGGTATAGCTATAAATTCACAGCTCTTTCCACACTCTTCCCACATTTTTCCAGTTGAGGCATCTTCCCCTTTCCACTCTCAGTATGAACAATGTCGTTTTTTCTTCAGCTCTCAGTCTTCTCCTTATTCATTTATACACTCAGCACATGCTTAGCACTTGACCTTGTCTTGAATTTTGGAAATATGAAGGTGAAGTTGGGAAGTCTCTAACTTACACCCACCAAACCTCCAAACTTACTTGCACCTGCACCTGATTCTCCTTGGACCCAATGCCACTCCTTCCCGATGTGCTCTGAATCCCACGGACCACTCATTGGAATCACCTGGGAAGCTTTAACAGTGACTGATGTCTGGCTCCCAACTCAGAAAATCTGATGTCTTTGGTCTTGAGTGCAGGCTGGGAATCGGAATTTTTAAAATGCCTTCAGGGACACCTAAACTACAGCCAGGATTGAGACATGATCTCTGTATGCTCCCCTTCTTAGGCTTCAGCAGGTAACCTCACCCTCACTTGAATTTCTATTTGTTTCCATTCTATTGGGTCATTTCCAAGTCATACGCAACGCCTGAAACTCTTTTATCTGAACATAAGAATGAAAAATCCTCCCTGGATCCATTGTCCATAGCAACTATCTGCTCTCTTTATGTACGTTCCAAGTCAAACAAAATTCAAGAATAAGTTGCCCACACAGGCTCTCTCTGCTTTCCCATCAACCATTCAATCTTCAATCTACTCCAGACTGGGTTCTGTGCCAGAATTGATCACTCTTGTCATTCAAAAACATTCATATCTCTTGGCCTCAAAGACCCCATGTTCTCCTGTTTCTTTTTCAGGCTACCTTTCTACCTGTCCTCTCAATGTTGAGAGTTCCTCAGGACATGGTGCTCGGCCATCTTTCCTTTTCACTCTGCTTCTCATGCTTTCCAGGCTCTGGGACCGTGGGGCTGATAATGCTTGCTCAGACCATTCCATCAGTCTCCTACCTGCATATCCAAATCCCTTTTTGGCCTGCTTCTCCATTAGGTGTGTGACAGGCATCTCAGATCCCATATTCCAAACTGAATCTTGATGTCCCCCTACCCTTAGATGATCCTCTTACACTGCTTCCCGTTGCATTAGTTTCCTGTGACTTCTGTAATGAATTACTACAAATGGATTGGCTTAAAACAGCACACACTTATACTCCCAGTCTGGAGGCCAGAAATCTAAAATTAGTTCCTCTGGGCTGAATCAGGATGTCAGCAGGACTACACTTTCTCTGGGGGCTTCAGGGATAAATCTGTTCCTTGATTCTTCCAGTTTCCGGTGGTTGCCAACATTTCTTGGTGTATTAGTGAGGGTTTCCCAGAAAAACAGAACCAGTAGTGTGTGTGTGTTTGTGTGTGTGTATGTATAGTTTTATTATAAGGAACTGGCTCATGTAACTATGGAGGGTGAAAAGATCTGCAGTCGTCAAGCTAGAGACTCAGGAGGGTCCGTGCTGTAAATTCCAGTCTGAGGGCAGGAGAAGAGGACTGTCTTGATTCAAGCAATTAGGCAGGAGAAGTTTCCTCTTTCTCAGACTTTTTGTTCTATTCAGGTCTCCAATTTATTGGATGAGGCCCACCCACATTAGGGAGGACAACCTGCTTTACTCAGTCTACTGAGTCAAACAAAATCTCATCAGGAAACACCCTGACAAACACACCCAGAATGATGTTCGACCAAATGTCTGGACATCCCGTGGCCCAGTCAAGGTGACACAGAAAATTAATTATCAGACTTGGCTTGTGGCCACATCACTCCAATTTTCAAGGGCAGCATCTTTAAATCTCTTTTTGTTCCATTTTCACATTGCCTTCTTGTATGTGTGTGTTTAAATCTCCCTTTGCTTCCCTCTTATAAGGAAGATTGTATTTAGGGCCCATCCAGTTAATCCAGAATAATCTCTCATTCTCAAGACCCTTAAATTAATCATATCTGTAAATACTCTTTTTCCAGATAAGGTAGCATTCACAGGTTCCAGAGTTGAGGACATGGATATCTTTTGAGGGTCCGTTATCAAGCCTCCTACACTAACCCATGCAAAGGGCACTTTAATCCACCCAGTTTCTTAAACCAGAAATTCAGGACTCACCTTTGTCATAAAATTCTCCCCAACCCCATCTGATCCATTGACAATGCCTGTATTTTCTATCTTCTAAGTAATCTCGAATCAGTTCAGCTCTTTCCATTTCCTCTGCTACCAACCTAACTCAAAACAGAATGTCTTTCCTGGACTATTTTAATAGTACACTTATGTCAATTGTAATTATCTCCTTATTTGCAGGGTTATTGTTGAATAACCCTTATTTGCAGGGTTATCTGTCTCCAGTCACTAAGTTGTAAGCTCTTTGAAGGTAGGACCGTCTATGTTTTTTTCGCCATTATATTTTAGACCCCAGCAAAGTGCTTTGTATAGGTTAGGTGCTCAATAAATATGTATCACACGTATGAATGGATGGATGGTACCTTTCCTGCCATAGAGGAGCTACTAGTCTGGTGAAGGGGCCATTCGATGGCTTCAACCCTAAATTACTTTACTTATTCATTTAAACTATTTGTATTGAGAGCCATCTGTAAGCCAGACGTTCTAGTAGCCTCAAAAAATCCACCAACTGACAAACTACATAAAACTCCTTGCTCTCATGGAACTTTGCATTTTAGTGTGAGGAAGGACAATGTATAATAAATGCATTCTATATATAGTGCTTATATATCACATTATAAAGTGATAAATGATATGAAAATAATAGAGCAGTTCAAAGGGGATGCACTTGTAATTTTGGATGGGGTAGATCTTCCTGAGAATTTCATATTTGAGAAAAGAATGAATGAGCTGAGGGGTGAGTCATGAATATATCCTGGGAAGGAGCTTCCCAGGCCGAGGGAAGTATAGTTGAGGAAGTCCCTGAGGCAGGAGTGGACATGGTCAGTTCAAGGAGGATGAGGATGCCAGTACGGCCGGAGTGAGGGAGTGAGGCTGAGAGCAGGAGGAGATGAGGACCAAGGGACCATGGGGCCAGTCTGTGCAGGACCTTGTAAGACAGTGGAAGGATTTGGCTTTTCCTCTGAGTAAGATGGGGAGCCATTGGAGGGTTTCCAACAGAGAAGGGACACCATCTGACTCACATTTTCACTGTATCCCTCTGGCTGCTGTGTGGACTGCAGGGGAGCAAAGGTGGAAATAAGAACCCTGGAGAAGTTATTTCAGTAACTGAGGTGAGAGATGGTATAGATTGGACCAGGGTGATAGCAGCAGAGGTGTTGAGAACTGGGCGGAATTGAGATATATTTTGAAAATAGGGCCAATAGGATTCCTTGATAGACTGGACGTGGGGTGGGGGCGAGAGAGGGAGAGAGAGAGAGAGAGAGAGATGCCAAGAATGACGCCCAGGTTTTGTCTGGAAGCAACTGGAAGCTAGACTGAATTCATAGTTTTGTCTGGAACTCCTGCCCCAAACATCTTAATTCCCTAAAGTCACTGGAACGGCTCTGCAGTCCTGAACTTTGCAGACAGCTGCTCAGAGTTGTCATCCGTCCTCCCCTGGAGAGTGTCTGATCCCTCCCCTAAACGTGCGCCCCGCTCTTCTCTCACACCCGTGCGCAGGGACTCTGTCACTTTGCCTTCAGCACAGTGCTCAGCCTGCAGCCCACATTCCATCCGTGACACAATCCCACTGCATCCCTGGATGTTCCTCTCGAGGTTGGTCTGAGCCTTGACACACTGCTTGGGGTACCCTTCTGACCCTAGCCTTTTGTTCACACCCAGGGCTCTAGGAGGTTGACCTGGTTATTTTTCTTGCTCACAGAAGTTTCTCCTTATTCGTTCTGCTCCAAAACACTTGAGGTCATTCAGTAGTCCCTGGATCTCTGTTGGCCGGGGTGGCCTGACCAAGTACCACTTTAAGTAACAGTGCCCTGTTAACTCAACTTCTTCCTGAATTTTTAATATTCTTGTTGACAGGGGCTTTGGGCTAGTCTCTATGACAGGTTCAGTGGAAAGGCCATTCCGTTAAGAAGCTGCAGCTGTTATGAAAGAAGGCTCCCTCTCCCTGTGTGTGTGCAGTTATGCCGGTACGGGTATCGGGTGCTACAGGGCTTTGGGAAATGTCTGCAAAGTCAGTGGCAAAACAGTTGTCTACAGCTGGCCTGTTTTGACCCCGTCTCTCACCCTACATAAGCCTCCAGCAAGTAACATGAAAGGGTCAAGCATCTCATGTTTCTTCCCCTAATGAGAATCAGGGTGCCACTGTGATGGCATTTCTCCCCACTTTCAGTTGCTGGGGGACCCCGTTTGTGCATGCACATTGTGTCCTCCAGCCCATAAACCCGCGTGTACTTGGAAAGAAAAGTCTCTAGGGGGAATGGAATTTAAAAGGATTTTCGGGCTTCCCTGGTGGCACAGTGGTTGGGAGTCCGCCTGCTGATGCAGGGTATACCGGTTCGTGCCCCGGTCCGGGAAGATCCCACATGCCGCGGAGCGGCTGGGCCCGTGAGCCATGGCCGCTGAGCCTGCGCGTCCGGAGCCTGTGCTCAGCAACGGGAGAGGCCACGGCGGTGAGAGGCTGGCGTACCGCAAAAAAAAAAAAAAAAAAGGACTTTCAACTCGTTGTTCAGGAGCAGTGGTCACCAGCTTCTCACTAAATGCAAGCTCTCCCAAATTCTACAGACACCCCCAAAAACCTCAAGAGCCAAACGCTCCGGCCCTGCCCTTCCCCCAGCCCCCACCCCCAGGGGGAGTGGTGCCCGGTCTGCCGCGGTGCATGCTGGGTAGGCTGGCTGTAAGCAGCAGCGGAAGTGAGAGGCTCCTCAGGTGTGTGAACCCAACAACGGGAAGTCCTGCAGGCCTCCGCGGGGCGGCGGCGAGGGGGGGGACTGAAAATGGCGAAAATGGCAGGGATGGGAGGGTGGGGAGAAGTTTTTCAGAGCTTTAAACTGAAAACTGCTTTCGAGGGGAGCAAAGACTTCTCTGGTGGTCTCCCAAGGGTGCTCCAACCCGCAGCTGTGCCCTGGTCTGGTTAACTTCTTAATTTACACCTCCTGGGAGCTCTCCTCTAATCAGAGGGCTTGGTAGGAGAGGTTTGGGACAGGAGCCGAAGGCCGGAGACTCTCCATGTCACCGTGACGGGGTGCGGGGCTGAGCCAGCTTGGGCAAAACCGGGGGTGCTGATTTCACACAGCGCATAGTATACGGGTGAATTTATCTTTCGTTGCCATGTAATCAAATTAAAGGGCAACAAGCGGCTTTTCCTCAGTTTTCTGAAAGGGTTGCAGCAACACCCATTATGAGGCCTTTATTCTTGCATGGATTGTTTAGCTTGGTGGGATCAGAGGAGGGGGGGTGTGTCTTGGTTGAGAGGACGAACTCTGGTGGCAGTGTGAGAGGTGACAGCCAAGTCTGCAGGAGCCTGTCTCTGGAATGTGAGTGGAAAGAAGCACCTCTGAGCTCTCGTGCAGGAGAACTGCAGTGTTTTTTTGTGTGCTTCTAGGGTCTAATAGGTATGAACTTTAGAATCTTGGAATGTCCTCTGCTAGGTTCCATGTGAAGGGTCATTGAGCATTGACTGTGGGCCAGGTATTCTTCCAAGGGCTTTCTGTGTATTAACTTAGATTTACAAGTTACTGAATATTTACAATTGCTGAATATTGTTAAGAACAAAAACCAAGTAGCACACTAGTGTGCGTTGTGTTCTTTTGTTCCTATACAAAAGTGATTATATGTTATATATATTTGCAGGTGAGGGAAAACTTCTGGAAGGGTAGCCAAAGAAATGGTTTAGCGGTTGTCCTTAGGAGACTGAGAGACTCCTTAACTGGGGAACTATGGTGTGGGAGGGAGATTTTTCATATAGTACACTTTTGTTCTGTTTGAATTCTTTTAGCCATGTGGGATGTTTCAATAAAAAAATGTTACATTTATTTTTTTAGGAGAATGAAATGAAAACCCTGTAGTCCAAGGCAACTTTGTGGATCAGGCGCTGTGGGCTGAATCCTGGAGAAGGACAAGTCCAAGGTAATACAGTGGATAGAGAACCAGGGGACAGGATGGAGGGGGGATCTTTGAGGAGATCTAGTTTGCCACAGAGGAGCTTGCTATCTTGGTGACTAAATACCAGCTCTAATGTCAAACTGGAAGGAAAATTGGAAATAGCAGTTAAAGTTCACTTGACAGGAACCAATGTCAAGCTAAAGTAAGAAATATGAGATTGCACCTGTAACTGGCCCACTATGCCACTATATATCATTCTAATCCCAAACTTGCCTCAGCCAGAAAGACAGGCGGTCCTCAACTCTCTCATACTGGTAGGCTCCACCCCAGCCTGTGAAAACCTATACTGTGATTATTATTACTGTTGCAGGCAGTCAGGAAACTGGCCCAGTCATCTGGTCCTCAAATATGGAGGTGGAAGTCACTGCTAGCATTGTGAATGGTCCAAGACAAATGGGGTCCCAAACTTGCCACTCCAAGGAACGCATCATCTTACAGAGATAACACACGAATCATGAGCTCTTAATGGAGGCTTCACTGTGTTAAGTCCACCAGAGGAATAGATCCAGAGTTACGGGGTTTCAGAGAATAGGATTACATTAGTCAGGAGGCAGTCCAAACATTTATAAAAAGGACTTTGCTTGCCACTTAGGATTTTGGTAGAAGGAAGGGACGATATTTCATGCAGGAGAGTGGCTTATGTAAAGAAGGTGAGGTGTGTTTGCAGAACAGGTGAGTGAGTTTGGTTGAAATGCACGGGGTTTGAAAGAAATGCAGGAGGAGCAGTCTGAAAATATCAGGTAGGGTGATGACTTCCATTCTGGTTAAGCAACAGGGACCAGTTTAATTGTTCTGAGCACAGGAGTGCCAGGACTTGAGTCCTTCAGGAAGATGAATTTTGCAGCAGGGTGGAGGTGAAGAGATGAAGGACCTGGGCCGGGGAGGTGGATTTATAGGCTCTGGGATTAGTCCTCCAGCTGAGAGCTAATGAGAGTCAAGGAGGAAGAAAGAAAAGGTGGAGACAGTCATGACAGATTTTGCAAAGGGCACAGAAGAGAAGTGATGACTGATTGGGTGTCAGGAGTGACGGAGCAGTTGGTGGAGTTTTGAGGCTGGATGGCTAAAAGGAAAGGGATAGAATAAGTGGATTTGGTGGCAACAGTGCTAAGGAAGAGAATTAGGGGGTATTTTGGGGGTTCTTGTACCCTATACACAGAAGTTTGAGACTGGAGCTTGGGGGAGAAGCTGGAGTTTTTCGGGGAGAGTGAGCTCTGTAGTGGGAATAGTTGAATCCCAGATATTAGATGATTTTGCAATTAGGGGTTTTGAAAGAGAAAAAAGAAAATGATCAAGTAAGACAAGCTAAGGAAAGAGGTGACGACAGAACAATAAGGAAGGAATGGAGTCACAGAATCTTGGCTACGGCAGTTTAACACAGGAGTTGGTGATAAAACGCCCCCCCCACCACACACGGAAAGGTGAGAAAAATGAGGTGAGAAAGGCTATTGGTTATGGCAGCTAAGTGGTCACTGATGACTTTTGAAAATGTTTTTAGATTTAAAGCATAGTTTGCAAATTTCAGGGCTGTAGGCTGAATCCAACCATAAGAAGGTAATTCATTTCATCCTCAGTGTTTAAAAAAATCAGATTAATAACTAATATTTAGAAATTGTTAGATTTCACATAAAAATCCCAAATTTCAAACCACCCCTAGCCCTCATTCCTCTTGGGTTGGATGTTGGCTGGAGGCCCTGTGTCGGCGGTGTAGTGGAGGGAGTGTGAGAGGTTGGGGGGGATTGACCCCTCCAGGTTGCCACAGCTGCCCCCAGCCTCCTTGTTGCAGTTCTGATGTCAGTGTGTTTGCACTTGGTTAAGGCATATGGAACTGGTGAGGAAATAGAGGTCACTTACTCTTTCAAGTAGAATGCTCCTTTGAAAGTTTGGAGATGACGTGCAGAAGAGAACGGATGGTTAGTCAGGGCAGCAGGGAGGAGAAGAATGAGTGTGTTAGGGTAACGGAGTCTCGTGCTCCCTTTGGTGTTACCCAAGAGGAAGGATTGAAGTAAAGAGGAGGAGACTAAAGAGGTGGGGGAGGAAGGGATTGATAAAACCAAAATTATGTGTGGGAACTGAGTAAGAAGCAAGATTGGAAAGAACAGGAACCTCTCTGCCTTTGAAATAGAAGCCACAAGACAGAAATAACAAGGGGGATAACTTTGCGGGGGAGAAGAGGGATTGCAGGAGAAGAGCCAGGATTCATGTTATGTGTGGGTGGGCTAATAAAATGGGGCTGAGGTCAGGGCCAGACCAGCATGTTACGGGGCGGTGGGGTAATTCTCGGGGCAGGGCAATAGTTTGGCAGTCTTGAAGTGGTATTCCTTAAATATTTATCTAGTAGTCATTTTCTTATAACTAAGAGAAGCTGATTTTCTCTTTAAAAAGTGCATGCCTATGTTTATATTTAGAAATTGGGGTTTATTACAGACCCAGATGTAGCATAACATTTACACTTAGTTGAAATTGTCTCACACATCACATTTTCTGTAGTGATGAGTACTCCTATTTACTAAGTATAGGGGAAGTGTACTATTCATGTATTGAATACATGAATTGTTGAATAGTAGTAAAGTGTAGTTCAATATGTATTTAAAAGTTTCTTTTTCTGACTTACATGATAGCAAAACAGATCTCATTTTTCTTTAGTTCTCTCTCTCTCTGTCTTTTTTTTTTTAGTTTCTTTTTTTATTTCTGAACCAGACAACTTCATGGAAGTCTTAGGTCAGTGCTTCAAACTGAGATAATAATGTGAACCACTTGTTACTGATAAATACTACAGTCTGCATCCTGCAGTTTCAGCATGTCATTGGTCCCTTGGTGCCGGCCTCAGCTGTTCTATCAGCTGATCTCAAGATCTGTGACTCTGTGGGCAAACCATCTAACTTGCTAAAGCACACCGTAGAGAAAAGGCTGTGCCTTGCAGGATGCTTTAATATATATGTTGGTGGGAGCCAGGAGTGGGCTTATGTCTGGCCAGTTATGTGAAAAGTTTCATGTGGACAGCTGAGTTCACTGGCAACAAGTTGCCGACATTCCTGTGTTGGCTCAGTGCACCTTCCTGATAAATTGGTATCTGTAATGGGTGCTTGGATGGCCCAATCCTTCTTGTGGATGTGGGTAGGATTTAGGCTGCAATATGGAATCAGTTTGCTGCTGGTATTATAGTGGATGTGAAAGTAGGTCTATTCAAGGCAAACAAAAGGACCACCAAGACTTAGGGAGGGACTTGCAGATTTGTGGCGGAGAGATAAAGGGAGAGACCAGAATGCTTTTCTCAGGAGGCCAGCAGGGTGTTGCAGTGATGGTTCTTGCAGGCTTATGTCAGGCAAGTGGGGTCAGAATCGAGGGTGGACTGATGGTGGCTTGGAGGGAGTGGGGAAGGAGAGGAAGTGAAGGAAACTGTGATTGGATTTCAGAATTTTAGTCATTTTAGTGACATATTCCTTTCAATGAAATATCTTTAAAGTTGCTTTTAAAAATACAGCCCTATAAAATTATGATTAAAAATGCATTTCTGCGATGTGTGAATTGCTTGGAGGACTGACTGCCACTATAAGCTTCACGTGACTAAGAACACTCCAAATTGTCTTTGGTCTGATATGAACATCCGAATTGCAGTGCGTTTGTGGCAACCTTCAAAATAATAGATTTCTCATGTGACTGAACATGATACCTCACCTTAATTTTCATTTTAGTTTTTCTATCAGTCATAACTGAGTTACACTAGTCACTCATACATGCTGAGGACTGGCAACCTACGTGGATATAATAGTTAGGTGTCATTAAAATGATCTGGTTAGCATTCATGGAGGGATAAACACTAGCGTCATTATGATTGTGACTGTCCCTCAACCTCCCTGAGTCTTACTTCCCTTATTTTAAACTGTGGCGGGGTGAGAGTGGGGTTGAGGCGGGTGATCTCTTTTAAATGTCAGAGAACATGACAATAAGCCAGGATGGTAGTTAGGACTGAGTTTCAATGTGCTGAAAGATAAACTGACGCATATTAAAATGTTTAAGCATTTCCCCGAGCAAATATGGATTCTAATCAGGCAGAGACAAACCAGAGGTAGTTAGGGGCTAGAGGCAGGACTCTCATAGAGAAGACTTAGAAGCAAAGCAAGGAGATTATATGATTGGCTGTAGCTTAAGCCGTTGCCGCATTCAGGAAAGCCTAGTCGGCTGTCTGTGATTGGTTCTACTTAGGTTTCGATTTCTTAACCCTGAGGCATTTACAGGCTTAGATTTTGGTTGGCTTATGTAGGTGCCAAGCATTAGAGCTGCATTAGAGCATTTGAGTCACCTTGGTCTAATGCCCTCCTTGTTTAATTAATTTAACGCATGTGATGAGAATAAGAAGGCAGCAGCACAGACTTCTTGGGTTGGAGTTTGTACTTGTTTAGTTTTGTTAAGAGAGCTAGGCCATTTGTAGCATTGCCTCAAAGACTCTTCTGAATTCCAGGAAGACAATTATTGTCAGTTACATGTTTAAAGCTCCTTGTAACTAAAATATACGTTTTTAGGCTACACAGTAGAGCTGTTTAGAGAACACAGGGAGACCTTGTATAATCAGTGCATACAATATATTTATTCTTATTTTATAGGATTTAGGATATGGTGTTACTACTTTAAATGATTCTGGAGCTTATGGTTTTTGCTTCTTTGTTTTCCTATGTGTTTTGGGATGCCGCTGCTGCTGTTCAGGATCTAGCATCCAGGGCCCACAAGCAGGATGTGTCTTTCCTAAAATGATCCCACTCTTTGGCCCCTGCAGGAACTGAAATTTTGCAGGAAATTCTTAAGGAATGTTGTGGGTCCCCGTTGTTGTGATTTTACCTATTTCCCTTGTCTTTTTGGAGTGGTCAGCCTCTAAGCACTGTCCTTCTACTGTTGATCACTATTGTACTGTGAGCCATCGTTGGGGAACTCTGGGAGAAAGAAAACCTCCCTGACTCCACCTCCTCCTT